CTGCACATCTTCCATGTGTTTTTGAACCAATGGAAAAAAACAGTTACAATTCAAGTGACTTAAAATTCCCTATGAAACTGAGTTAACAAAATAAATGAGCTTATGAACAACCAGAAAATATACTTCTCAAGTGAAAAACTATAACTGGACTTCTTTGCAAAGAAATTGTAAGTTTTCTTACAGGAAAAGCTACAAACTGTCTGAAAAGGAAGAGTAGATTAAATTACTTGCCTCAGTGAAATTAAATATCCAGAGAATTGCTGTGCCTGTGATGATGATGACCGGGGTTTGCTCACCTGTGGCTCCCCCTCCCAGTGCTGCTGGAGGCACAGCTGGGCAGCTCTGCATCTGCAAGCAGGCCCCCTGCCTCAGGTGCAGCTCCCATTGGCCTTGGTGGCCAACAGTCTGGAAGCCTCCTGGCCAATGAGCTGGGGGAAGGAGGGGGAAGGCAAAGAGGAAGATTGTAGGGAGCTCGGGAGCAGGGGAGGTAGGGGAGAGGGGAGCTGTCTCTGGAGGCACAAAGGGGGGGCTCTCTGGAGAGGGGTGATGGGGGCATAGGGGCTGGAGGGAATCTTCCAGGGGGGCAGAGGGTTGTGTGGGTCTCTGTGGGGTGGGGGTGGGGGAGTGACTGACAGAGCCAGCTGCAGCCCAGGTCTGGTCTGTGAGGGAAGGGAGTGTTGCTATACCTACCTCCCCCCGCCCCCCGAGGAAGCCCCCTCTGTACTGTGTATTTTATGCCAGCCCCGGGGTGCATCGCTGCTCCTTTCTCCTGCCCCCAGCTCCATCTGTTTGTCTGCCCCCACAATGCCCCTCCCCCGAATCTGTGTATGACGGTGACAGACTCCTGCTGCTCTCTCTGCCTGCAGCTCCCTCCCCTCCCTGCTGGGGAGGTGCGGTCAGGCAGCTCTGGCACACACACCCCCAGCTCCCAATGGGCTGGGAACCGGGTCAGCTCTGGGAGAGGGGACGGAGGCAGCGTTCGGAGCTTCCCTGCCTCTGCCGAGACTCTCCGCTGCCTGCAGGGATGCCGGGGATGGGGGAGCTGCCCCCGAGGTGAGAGCGCCCCACCCCACGTTGCCAAACTGTGGAGAATGGGCACCACGGCCCATCTCACCACCTATGTATCCAACCCACCCTGCTCCCTGTCCTCTGACTGCCCCCGCCCCTTATCCAACCCCCCAGCCCCCCTAACCATGAGGCTCCTAGCAGAGTTTGGCTCAGCGCAGAGCCAGACACACTGCCCCACCCACCCCCCAGAGCTCTGCCCTGCATTAGGGTGTGCCTGAGCACACCTGGCACACCCATGCACACGCCTATGGGTCCCAGAGTTAGTTCTGCTAGTTTTGCAGAGCAGAACAGTCTTATTTTTGAACTCTCAAGGATGTAGCTGTTCCTTTTCAGACAGCTGGCTCTGTCAATCACTCATCCCTAGATCCTTTGAATGTGTTCTATGGTACCCTAGTGGGCTCAGGCACATCTGTTCCTGTGTGGAACCAAGAGTTCAAAGTGGGGAATAAGCAGAATTCTGATTCTGACTTGTTGGTAGGAATTGAATTGATTATGTTTCTGTAAAACAGAGTCCAGTCTCTAAGCTGGTGGTGGATCCAAAAGCAAGCATGCAGGAGTGGGGAGAAAGGGGGGAAATTACATCTGTCTCGCACCACAGCAGTCCTCTCTGGAAGAAAAAAAAAAAAAAAAGAGAGAATCACAATCCTGGGGGTGGGAAAGCGACTGGGAGAGGGTGCTACTCAATGTCATCATGGGGGAAGGAGAGATGTAGGCTGCTCCCAGCCTTCTCACTCCTTGATGCTATCCTTGTATTGGGCATGGGGCAACTGATCCACACACACACAGTAGGACTATGATGGAACGGCACTAGGGTAGGCAGAGAACAGCCCCTCCCCAACAGTGCAGCAAGGAGCCTAGTGACCGGATGTGTGTGTGTCAAGGCAGACACTCCCTGCCAGAGCTCCAGACGGGGGGGGGGGGGGGGGGGGGGGAGGAGCAGAAGGGACCCTCCCCACCAGTGCCAGGGGACAGCAGACCCATGGGGGAGAGGCGCCGGAGACTAAGACAAAGGAATTGATGTGAATGATAAACCCCGTGAAAATGTGTAACACTTGATTTTTGGAAAAAACTTTTGTACATGCTAGGGATGGTGACAAGACAATCCCACAAGCATGTTGCTTTTCAGCTTATACGTGTAAACAGGTTGGAAGCTTGGCACAGCAGCAAAAGCATAACAGGCCTACACTGCTGTGTGGAAGGGGAAACTGAGGCACACCGCCTCATGGCATTTGTGGCTAAATGCCAAGACACCTACACTTTAACAGATATTGCTATCTGCATTCTGTTAGCAATACTACACCCCAACACATTCTCGAGCACCTGGGGACCAGGAACCCAGAACTTTGCAAGAACCCCTATGAATAGCATTATAGTGTTTAATAACGCTGGATGGGGGTATGACCAGAGCTGAACCAGAATTTTAAATGTACAGTACTGCCTCCACCATGGTCAGTGTCCAAGTCTCTGGCAGTAAGTTCAGGAGGAGGGTGTGACATTGCACTCCATATGCTTTATGGAAATATTCTTATAAATATGACATAACTGGAATATGTTTTACACTAAATACCCCTTGTATGATGTCATTAGGATGAACACACTTAGTAGATTACGAGCTATTTGTTTCTATATCTGGAGTTAGGAGAATAAGATATACACCTCTACCTCGATATAACACGAATTCGGCTATAATGCGGTAAAGCAGTGCTCCGGGGCGGGGGGGGGGCAGGGCTGTGCACTCCGGTGGATCAAAGCAAGTTCAATATAACGCAGTTTCACCTATAACGCGGTAAGATTTTTTGGCTCCAGAGGACAGTGTTATATCGAGGTAGAGGTGTAACTTGTATCACTGATGTAAACATATTAAGTGGAGGCCATTAAGGGTGCTCCAGAAACAATCAGTTGTAAATGGCCTTAGTTACTTGAAAGCCTTCCTGTGTATGTGTGGGCCAGCCCATGGGGAATGGAGACTAGAGGTCTTACAGTGACATGTGACCATGTCATCTGATAATGAAATCCATCTTAAATCTGGTACTTTTCCACTTAGAAGGAGGGGTGGGGACAAGTACAGACAAAAGATTCCCGCCTTGTGCCAAAGCTATAAAAGGGGGTGGAGCAGGACAAAGGTGGCTGCCAGTCATGAGAAGACCCCTGTTTACCACCTGAGATGTCTGCTGGAACTAACAAGAACTGTACCGGGGAAAGGACTGGGCCCAGATTAGGAAAGAGTCTAGTCTGTGAAAGAAGCTTAGTGGAACATCTCTGAGGGTGAGATATTACCTGTAATCAGTTTCTTAATGTGTTAGGCTTAGATTTGCATGTTTTGTTTCATTTTGCTTTGTTCTGTCTATTACTTGAAAACACTTAAATCCTACCTTTTATACTTAATAAAATCACTTTTGTTTATTAATAAACCCAGAGTAAGTGATTAATACCTGGGGGAGCAAACCGCTGTGCATCTCTCCCTCTCTCTCAGTGATACAGAGGGCAAAAAATGTATGAATTTACTCCGTAGAAGCTTTATACAGAGTAAAACGGATTTATTTGGGGTTTGGATCCCCTTGGGAACTGGGTGTCTGGGTGCTGGAGGCAAGTAACCTGCTGAGCTGTTTCCAATTAAATCTGCAGCTTTGGGGGGATGGACCAGACTCTGGGTCTGTGTTGCAGCAGGCTAGTGTGTCTGGCTCAACAAGGCAGGGTTCTGGATTCCCAAGGTGGCAGGGAAAACGGGCTCAGAGGTAATTTCAGCCCGTCAGGAGACTATCCCAAGGGGATCTCTGTGACCGAACCCATCACAGGGATCCCCACCAGTGTCAGGGGACAGCAGACCCATGGGGGAGAGGCACCAGAGACTCGCCGGGGGCCACTGTGGCCCACAATGCCCTCCCTCCCAGAGCAGAGGGTCAGCGTAGCAGGGCGTGTTCCACACAAAGCCCCCCCACACACACACACACACAGAGCAGTATCACTGGCAGGCAGCCCCAAACCAGCACCAAGCTGTGCCACCACCCTCCCTCCTCACAAATCCTAAACCAGGCAGCGATCGACCAACAAACACAACCATACTGTCCCACACCCCCAAACACCCCCCCCCCCAGCCATGTCTCTGCTCCCCGCACAGCCCCGGGACGGGTGGCACCACCGCCGACCCAGGCTGGGCTGGCTATTACACGGCCCTCCACAACCCCCCACAATCCCTCCTTGCCCCCAGGCTTGCTATGCCACCCCACAGCCCCACACAACCCTCTCCCCCACACCACCCCCCACAGTCCCTCCTGCAGTCCCCACCCAGCTGTGCCACCCCACAGCCCAACCCAAACCCCACAGTCCCTCCTGCAGCCCCCTCCCAGCTGTGCCACCCCACAGCCCCACACAACCCCTCCCCCACAGTCCCTCCTGCAGCCCACCAACCCAGCTGTGCCACCCCACAGCCCCTCCTGCAGCCCCCCACCCAGCTGTGCCACCCCACACACACCCCAGCCATGCTGTCCCCCTGCGCGGCGCCCTGCCATGCTGTTGCCCCTCACAGCCCCCATCCATGCCAGCGCCCCATCCGTGCCAGCGCCCCCTCTGCCACAGCACACACAGACCCCTCCACCTCCCAGCTACGCCACCCCTCCACGCCCCCCAACCCCGACGGAACAGACCCCCACCGCAGCGTAGCACCACGCACGCAGCCGCGGTTACCTACCGTACCGTGCCGTGCCGTGCCGAGTTCGCGAGCGACAGAGACCCCAACCGTGTCCTCCAGTGCACCACTGCGCTCAGCGACACAGCGGCGCTCTGCACAGCAGAAGAGAAGACGAGTGAGCGCAGAGCGGGCGGGAAAGGTCATGTGATTTCCGGGCTACGGACTATCTAGTTGCCATGGTGTCTCTATGATCCCCGGCTCCTCGCCTTTACTGCAGATGAGCATGCGCAGGAGACTAGCGTGCCATAGCAACCGGATCAGCGACAGTAGCAACCGTAATGGTGAGTCTGTTCAAAGGCGAAGCGAGGAGCTGGGGGAGGGGGCGGTGAGGGGCTGGATGGGGCAAGGGGAGAGGCGGGACCTGGCCGGCTGGGGTGGCTGAGGGAGAGAGGAGGTGACTTGGCTGGCGGGGGCAGCGAGGCGGGATTGAGGAGACCTGGTTGGGGTGGGGGGAAAGGAGGAGCTGGGGGACCAAGTGGGCCCTGGCTGTGGGAAGGGAAGGGGAGGGGAAGGGACTTGGGGAGCCTGGCTTGGCCATTGGAGCATATTTCACTGAACGTGGAAATGATGGGCCTGACTCCCAGTTTCTGGACACAGAGAGGAGGCGCTTTGCCCCTCCTGTGTTCTGGGCCCTGCCAGGAGCCCGTCTGGCCCCCAGCATAAGTTAGAGCAGTCTCAGGGTTATTCTAACTTGCTCTCAGCTGCAACAGCATCCTAGACAGTGTTTTGCAGTCCAGAATAGCCAGAGAGCAACTTGCTGTCGCTGTTCCCCCTTTCTCCTTGACAGGCCCCTACAATGGGAGCTGCAAGGGGTGTTGGTGTGGAGTGAACTGCTTGGTAGTAGAGCCAATCCCTGGAGAGGTATAAATGGGCTATAGGGCAACACATAAACTAGCCCACTATCTAGGACCTTGAGGTTATTTCCTGCAATTGAGAACATTTGTTATAAAGAAACAAATAAACAAAAAAAAAGGTTGTGTCTTGGAAAGAGTTATTCCAGGGCTAGATCAGAATAGCGGGAGCAGATGATCTTATTCTTCATTCTGGAGCTGCTTGAGTGCCAGGAATCACCATCATTAAAATGCTGAATTAATAGATGGTTTGAAGACTGTAGTAAATACACAATCTACTTTGACTAGTCTGATTACAGCTCCCTTTCCTATGAAATTCCATGTGGTTTTATTTGACGGAAATGACCAAGAAGAATTAAATGCATAAAAATGAGGATGAAGCCCAGTTATCTATTTTTCCCCTGGGAACATTGCTGTATGTTTTGAAGTTTTGTAAATGTTCTGTAATGATCCCTTGTAAGAAATGATTCCATTGAGGGGGCAGAGCATGGATTATTTAATATTTTTCTGTTATATTTTACCAGTCCTCTGTGTGTGCAGTTTTTTATTTTTTCCTTAGATTATTTGTTGTTGTTCTTGTTCCTGTAAAATCAATGTGAGCTGTCAAGGGTGACATTTTCAGCCCTTGATTATTTGGCATAATCAGTGGTACAGCATTTTGATTACTTGTCTTTCCTTTCGGCAATCTAACCTCCTTTAACCTGAGTCATTCTGGGAAAGCAGCCAGTTTCCAGGTGAAGGATGCCTGGTATTGGGCTGGTTCATGTGAGATTTACAGCAAGGCTAGTTGGTGCACCATGCCTGGGATCAGTGAAGCCTTCCAGTATAAAAAGGCAGGCTATATTGGTATTCTTGTTGGAGTGAATTTGAACCCACTCCAAGAAACCCTGATCTCTGATCTGTGCTACCCAGATGACCTATTTCCCTGCTTCTGGTTTTCATCCTCACCATCAGCATCAAGCCAGGTGTCAACAGTAGGAGAGGCAGGACAGTTAGGGGTGCAAATCTGAAGAAGTCAGGAAAGAAACTGGTCACTATATTTAAATTATATCACATGGATTATTTAAATTTAAATTCAGTCAGTTTTTAGGCTAGAGTATGGGAAAGAAACTGTACTAATCATCTTTTTGTTTAATGGTGAGTGATACAGATCAAGAGTTCATGCTGATTTTATTATTCCTGTCACCTCCTTTTGAACCAGTTATTTAATGTTTATTATTGCAGTAGCATTTGCATGCTGCAATCAAGTTGGGCCCCATGGTGTTAGGACAGATCATGTCCCAAAGAGCTGAAAATCCAAAAGACATGTACTTTTGTTGGCTCATCTGTAGTCCTTCACAGGGATTGATAGAGTTGTGAGATTTAGTGAGGGAAGAAGGGATGCAGTGTTCTTAATTCAAGAATGATTCTCAGCCTTATAATGCTTTTGGTGTTTGATTCAGCTAGTGTGGTGGAACAAATTACCAAATGTCTTTTAGGTGACTGGACATAGATAAAGGCTAGATGGCAGTACCTTAATCTAGATAAGATTGTGTTGATGGTGGAAGGTTGGGGAAGCAACTGGAAGAATTGGTGAGGTTTATATCTACATCCCCAAATGAAGAAACGTGCCTGCCAGTTGAGACACAGGTTCACAAGTTTGGAATTTTGTTAGATTCTGGATCACTTTGACCACTCAGCAGTTTTAGCCATGTGCATGTTCTGTAGTCTGGCAAAAAGCACATGTACTTTCCTTTTGTATCTAGAGCTGCTGTTGTTTGGGCTGTAGCCCATGAAAGCTTATGCTCTAATAAATTTGTTAGTCTCTAAGGTGCCACAAGTACTCCTGTTCTTTTTGTTGTTGTTATTGTTATCATTATTAGTTATTTGTATTACCATAATGCCTAGGAGTCCTAGTAATGACCAGGACCCTGTTGTGCTAGGCTCTGTACAAACACAGAACAAAAAGATGGTCCCTGCCCCAAGGGTCTTACAATCTAACCTTTCTACTATTATACATGCTTTGCCACTTTGAGATTGCACTAGCGTAATATGCTCTACATGGGGGTTACATGATGAGACCATTCAGAAACTAAAGTTAGTGAGAATGGGATGACTCTTGCTGAGTGGAGCATTGGACATAAAGTACATAACACTAGTGTTCTTTGATCTGTTCCGCTACCAGGAAATCTCTCCCTGTGCTGTACTGTACAGTTAAGATCAGCAGAGGTGTTCAAGCTGGAGTCCTCTTGATTTTAAAGTGAGGAAGCAGTTGACAGGTTGTTTTCTCCTCGAGATCCTTGACTCTGAAACATTTCTCCCTCCTTTGTCCTTTAGAGCCTTGATTATTTTTTTTTAACTTTTTGGGGATGCTACAAAATTTCTTTCTTCACTGGCATTAGCGTGGAAGTAGGTAGAGGATTTAGTGGGGTTTTGCAATGGGCCTCGATATGGTGGCTGAGGTATTGCAGTAAGGTATACCAAGTTTCTACTGTTATTGTGGATCAATCCATTAAGTGAATATTGTATGGTAGCTTTCACACTTCTTTTTTAAATTGAACACAGTGTGACTTTCAATGATTTGAGGTGCCTAGAAGCATAGGATAGTTGATGGAGAAATCAAAATAAAATAAGAAAATCCCACAGGCTACACCTGACCCTGTGTAGGAAGGACAAAGTTTTCCTCCGTATGTTTCAAAAAGGCTTAGCAAATTTCCACATGGGGAAATCTCTGTGATAAGCATGATCTGCTAAGGGCATTAAGCCAAATTAATCACTAGTATAACTCCTTTGACTTCAATAGAGATTCACCAGAGATGCAGAGAACTTGGTCCAGTAATCCAAGCCCTGTGCTACCCATGCCTACAGAGAGCAGGCAATATCAAGAAGATGATGTGCTTGGTCTCCCGGGGAAATTGTGCATGTATGTATGTTCAAACTTACTGCACCACCTCTAAAATTGCTGTTGGACGACTCAGTGAATGAAATTAAAAGCAGCTTTTGGAAGGGGGTTCAATTTCTGCTTCTTAGGATCAGTTGTAGGAAGAGAGACCATGGAACTTAAGGGGGAAAAACTAGCTCTGCAATGAACAATTCAGCCAAAAAAAATTATAATGATTCTTCTTTTGATTTGTGTTTAGGCAAAAGCAACAACTATTAAAGAAGCTCTAGCCAGATGGGTAAGTTCAAGAGAAGTATCTGCAGTTGTCTCAGTGGTACTCTGTGGCCTGGATCTCATTTGTAAATAGGATGGCTTCATCCAGTTTGATGAATTCATTACAATAATGTAGAAAAAATAATTTCCTTGAAACTTCTGCCACTAAAAGAAGCTTCATGAAACAATATTATTTTATTAGTATCTCACTGAAATCAATTTCATTTGAACCCCTGTGTGCTATTCTTATTAAATTGTCCTGACCACGAAAGCTCTATTTTAGTGTCTGGCCTAACGCTGTCAGATTGTACATTGACAGAAGATCTGATACTACAAAGAGGTTTTCTCTGCAGGATGTCTTTTGATTTTCTCTGTCTAATTATACCCTGTTCAATCTTGATCACCTAATTAGAGTTTATCCCTAGCACAAATAATCAAGGATGAAATCCTGGCCCCATTGAAGTCAATTGGAGTTTTGCCATTGACATAGTTGAGCCAAGATTTTATCTGAACAGTGCATGAAGAAAAAACTCCCAGAAGTAACTTAAAAAAAAGTCTGAATTCAAAACTAAGTCTCTGTTTAAAATGTTTTAACAATGTAAAGGCTAAAGATGACTTATATCAGTATCATCCATAAATTTTCCCCCATGCATGCAGATCCATTATCCACTCTGCAAAGTTTAAATGAGCAACAAGTTTATTATATATTATTCTTTTTCAATTAGACTTAGTATAGATCTCCATTTTTTGGGATGTGCCTATGGACTAAGTGCCTTCACACTAAGCTAAGAACCCTCTAGAAAGCTCTGTTTGTTGGAGATCGCACAGTAGTGATATCGGACAATGGTGTGGAAAATAGTCCAGAGACCTGATCCAAAATCCATGGGAATTTTTCCACTGACCTCAGTGTGCTTTGAATCATGGCATAGGTGTGACACACATGCTCAATTCCTTCCAGATACTAGAGAAGTTATTTATACTGTTTTACTTTCTAGAACAGTGGTTTTCAAACTTTTTTTCCGACAACCCAGTTGAAGAAAATTGTTGATGCCCACGACCCAACGGAGCTGGGGATGAGGGGTGTGGGAGGGGCTCAGGGCTGGGGCAGAGGGTTGGGGTGCGGGGGTGAGGGCTGCAGGGTGGGGCTGGGAATGAGGGGTTCAGGGTGTGGGTGGGCTCTGGGCTGGGGCAGGGGGTTGGGGTGCAGGAGGGGGTCAGGGCTCTGCGCTGGGGGTGCAAGCTTTGGGGTGGGGCTGGGGATGAGGGGTTTGGGGTGCAGGAAGGGGCTCTGGGTTTTGGGGGGGCTCAGGGCTGGGACAGGGGATTGAGGCCCAGGGTTGGGGCGCAGGCTTACCCTGGAAGCGGCTAGCAGCAGGTCCGGCTCCTAGGCGGAGGCGCGCAAACAGCTCCGCGCGTCTCTCACCTGCAGGCACCGCCCCCTTTAGCAGCCAATGGGAGTGCGGAGCCAGTGCTCGGGGCAGGGACAGCGTGCGGAGTCCCGTGCCCCTCCCCCCCCATGCCTAGGAGCCAGACCTGCTGCTGGCCGCTTCCAGGGCGCTGTGTGGTGTCAGAACAGGTAGGAACTAGCCTGCCTTAACTGGGAAGCAGTGCCAACAGGACTTTTAACGGCCTGGTCGGCGGTGCTCACCAGAGCCGCCGTGACCCAGTGCTTTACATTCCGCGACCCAGTACTGGGTCGCAACCCACAGTTTGAAAATCACTGTTCTAGCAGGTTCAGGGCTTGGTGTGGATTGTATAGGCACAACCCAAGAGTAGGATAATAGAGCTTTGTTACCATGTTTGGATTTTCAGTTCAGGATACTCCTTTTTCTTAACTATTCTTCTCTGTACTCTCAACCTGTATCCTTGGGAGATGTGATAGAATCTGACTGAGTCCCTCCTGGTTTCAACCTGTTTCTCCTTTTACATGCAAGTTTATTTTGTTTACATTATAAACTCTTCAGAACAGGGACACTGTCAAAATAGCTATGTACATGAACATTTTGAGACTGGGCTAACATCACCATAGCAGCAACAGCAGAAACCTTTTACAGCAAACACCCAGCTATAGCAGTAGAAGGGGGGAAAGAGAGACAGCCTGTGTTTTCTCACACCCCAGGACCTGGCATGTGGACCAAGTGGCCAATATACCTTTCTGGAGGCACTCATGGGAGAGGAAACATGCCAGGCTCCCCCCTCCATAAATGCCTACCCAACAGCCCTGGCACATGGCCCAGCATCCCTTTCCAACCTCTCAGGGCACTACATGGGCCTGGAGTTCCCCACAACTCCTGGAGGAGAGTGTGGGGAGAGAGCTGGGCTAGCCTATCCTCCGTCTGCTCCCCAGAACCTACCCCCAAGACCTAGTACTTGGACCCAATGGTCCTCTTTCCTCTAGAATAAATGCCTGCTCCTGCTTCTAATATGTAGTTAGTCCAGTAACTCAAGTGGTGAAGGTCTGTGGTTCAAATTGTGATGCTGATGGCATTTATAACTGCTTGTTGCATGTAATTAAACTTGTTTTTACCTTTTTCCTACCCCCTCCCCACCAAACCCTAGGAAATTACATACAAAAAATTACATTAGAGGGATATTACTTAGGTTGCACAGTCAAGCACTTGAAAGTTAGGAAATACTGTTTTTTATGGTTGCCCACACAGCCTAAATCCAGCCCCCTTCTTCATATGCTTTAAGATAGTCTTTATGAAGTGATCACATACTTTTTTCTCATAAGACCCCTGCCTTATTCAGTGCACAGGATCAGACCTCCCAATAGTCTTGGGTTTCATGGGACCGAAGTTCACTCTAAGCTGCGCAGCCGCGCAGCAGGTTATAAAGGACCGCACAGGCACGCAGCCACAGGGGTGTGGGGAGAGGAGAGAGGTAGGCAGGGAGGGGAGCAAGTTGGGGCGTGCAGGGCTGCCACAGGGAGAGGTGCCGCTCCCTTGGTCCCAGAGCTCCTGCTGGTGGGGAGAAGCACCTCTCTCCAAGAGCTGCTGCCAGTGGGGAGAGGGCTGGGGGGAGTCCTCTGGCCCCAGCCCTGGGGCAGCCTGCACCCCAAACTCCTCATCCCCGGCCCCACCCCTCAGCAGGCACCCCTAGCTGGAGCCCTCACCCCTGCACCCAAACCCTCTGCCCCAGCCCTGAGCCCCCTCTTGCACCCCAGAGCCCTCACCCCCAGCCAGAGCCCTCACCCCCCCCCACCCCAACCCTCTGCCCCAGTCCTGAGCTCGTCCATGCACACTCTGAATCCCCCGGCCCCATCCCCACCACACGTCACCTCCATATTGGTGCACATAACAAAATTCATTCCACACATGGATATAAAAAATTAGAGGAAACATTGCATGGGACTGTCCTGCTTTGACCCCCCAAACTCCCAGTCCTGGTTGAAATCGCTCTTGTCCCATAGGGCTGGCTGGGCTTGGCACCCCTCTCTGGTTTGGGTCATCTGATCCTCCATCTCCATCTACAGTGGGGCAGACAGGCCAAACCTGAGCGCTGCTGCAACCTCAAGCACCAGGGACCATAGGCACCAACTTCTCCTGGTGCCGATAGGTGCTCAACCCAGGCCTCGCCCTAACTCCACCCCAGCCCCGCCCCCATTCCAACCTCTTCCCCAAAGTTCCTGCCCCAACTCCGCCCCCTCCCCGCCCCATTGGACTCCTTCCCCAAATCCCCGCCTCTTCCCCTCCTCCTCCTCTGAGCACGCCACATTCCCGCTCCTCCCCCCTCCCTCCCACAGCTTGTTACACCGTGAAACAGCTGTTTTGCTGCAGCAAGCGCTGTGAGAAGTGGGACGAGGCGCTCTCAGGGGAGGAGGCGGAGGTGAGGTGAGCTGAGGTGGGGAATTTGGCTGCTGCTGGTGCAGAGCACCCACCAATTTTTCCCTGTGGGTACTCCAGCCCTGGAGCACCCACGGACTCGGCGCCTATGCCAAGGACCAGGTCACAACACCAAGAGCAGGGAGCCTAGCACAGGCAGCCCCTTGGGGCAGGAACCACTGCTGCAGGGTGAATGCAGGTCAGGCTCACTCTGCAACACACACCCTGACCCCTCCTCTCCTTCCCCCCGGGGCAGCACCAGTTCTATGTTAGCCATTTCAAATGTTGGGAGATACGCGAGGTGGAAGCAGAAGGAAGCAGAATTAAGTCTACATAAGCATTCATAAATCTGGCATTTCCTAATTTTTGAGTGCTTAACTGCAATGTAAATAATATTCTTTTAACGTTGGGGGTCTTTTGTTTAATTCTTTTAGTACCAAAAGTGAATGTTCCTCAGTTTACTGTTTTACCAATTTCGTCTATGCTTTGAGACTTACTGATTTCAGATTGTGATTTGAGGCTTTTGTGCCTTACACTTAAATCTTTTGGTAGCTGATTTATCAGTGATCTGGAAACATGCATTCAGGGTTGGGATTAGGGTGCCAGAACTATGAGGAGCCCAGATCAATACAATTTAAGTCTGACTTTCCCTGAAACTGACCTTTAGGGATGTAGTGGAAAGTAGTGCTACTGTTAGGTATATACTTTTGCTGTGCCTGGCTCCTAATTCAGACTGAAATGAATAGGTGTAAAGGGCAGAGAGGAAAAAGAAATGCTAAGGGAAACAACTGAGTTTGCTGGAGACTTGAATCCTGAATCTGATCCAGGGCTGTATTTTTTTTTTTAAATACATGCATTGATAAGCATTTTAATATCCTGGAAATAAGCAAGTCTTCTCTTTCTTCTTTTCCTTTAAATTAAATGTGTGTGTGTGTGTGTAATTCAGATGAACAACAACAAACAAGATTTCAAACCCTTTTTCTTCTGTTTTCTTGAAGATTAGGGATAATTTTTATAACCAGTGCAGATTCCAATCAGTGTCTCATTTTTTTGCCCTTTCTTTTCCTTCTTTGTTTTCCTCAGGAGGAAAAAAACGGCCAGAAGGCATCGGAGGCCAAGGAGGTGAAACTATATGCCCAAGTTCCTCCTGTAGAGAAGATGGATGCATCTCTGTCCACACTTGTTAACTGCGAGTAAGTTCTGTTAAACAAACAAACAAACAAACAAACCTGGAAATAGTCAATTTTTAATCATTGCTTCTGGTTTTTTGAAGTCTAGGCTTTCTCTCCCCCTACATCTACCTCTAGATGTGAACAAAATATCTCTTCAGTCCAACACCACTCCTTTCTCCTAAGCTCTGTTCTTTCTCCCATAGAAACATACAGATGCTCTTCTGCTTAGTAATATCATTGCCACTTACTTGAGAAGACAGAACCTAGTTCTCTCAGACATTAACGCAAACTCAGCGTTAATACCAGTCCATTGAATGGCTGGTAGATGGCATTGAAGTGAATAATTTCTGTCCCATGTCTGAAGTCCACCAGGCTGTGGATGAGCGTGTGGTCCCTTTAGAGACTCCTGCACTGTTGTGGCTGCATAACCTCTTTGTGTGAAATTGTGAGCCAAAGTCTACACCACCACATCCAGATGCTCAGGCTTTCTCTAGGAACTGCTGTTCAGAAATAAAAGTCTTGAGGTTCAATCTCATATGGTAATAGTACCGAAATTAATTTGCTGCAGTATTACTTTCTTAACAGCATAATGACTGACTGGTCCTGAGGTCCTGGGTCTCCACAGGACTAGAAATCCTAGTATTAGGGCCTAGAGCATCCATGACAGCTCATAGTGCTGCTGTTCCTGGCATTGCTCTTGACCAAAATATCTCCAAGAGAAACACTGTAATGTTAGCTCCATCTGAATTAGGAAAGAGAAGGACAAAATAGAGCTAATTGGTAGTGTCAGAAAGAAAAGTTTGGGAAATATTGTAACCTGTCTTTGGTTTGAGCCAGGCACACAAAGGAGGATGCCACACATATGTTATAAAATTGGTGGTGGAATCCCAAAAAAGTGAAATTTAAATCTTACAGAGATGCGTGATTTGAGGAGAACAGGACTGTGCATGTATCCAGTGGTTTACTACATAATAAGAGAAGAGTAAAATGTGATTTCATTCTAACAAAATGTTATTTGTAAGAGGGCCTTCTTCTGATTCAGTGATTCCTGTTGCACTGTTAATATAAGCTGTTAATTATTCTTGCTTTTAAAGGAAGTTGTCTCTGTCTACAAACTGCATCGAAAAAATCGCCAACCTGAACGGCCTAAGTAAGTGATATGTCAATGACTGATTGTGTTTATATTCCAGCTGCTTGGATTAGATATGTTCCATAGCTTGTGACACATGGCCAACTATTGACATCCTGTTCTGATATCACCTTCCATTCCCCCGCTTCCAAAAAAATAAATAAATAAAGGGGACTCACCAAGAAGGTGGGAGACTTTGGTTCCAGTCCCCATTTCACATCAAGCAAAATGGGAATTTGAACCCACATCTTCGTTGAGTGCTTTAACCAATGGGCCATTGGCTATAAGGAGGCACTGTTGCCTCCATTTTCCTTAAGAAAGTGCTGACCTGGCTGAGGCACCTAACTCTATGAGAGAGTTCAGGACTGTAAATTCTGAGTGGTGGGGAGATGCCTCCCTCCAGCCTGGACTTATGTGCCTAGCTCCCTTTGAGGGATGAGGCTTAGGCCAGGTTGAATCATTTAATTGTGTTTTACTTAATGTCAGTATTACATTGGGGAAAATCTTGCTTCCTGCAAAGTTTGGGATTTCTGAGTACAAGAGTATTTAAGGAGTAATATTTTCCCCAATTGGACATCATTTCAGGTAACATCAGTTCACCAATTTTATATTTTAAGGTTTATAATAACTGAACAGATACTCAAAAGGCCAATGTTACGTGCTTTTGGAAAAGTATCCATAGTTTCTAATCATGGTTTCAAAGAACATGAGGATAATTTGGCTAGATCAGAGGTAGGCAACCTATGGCACGTGTGCCGAAGGCGGCACGTGAGCTGATTTTCAGTGGCACTCACACTGCCCAGGTCCTGGCCACCAGTCCGGGGAGCTCTGCATTTTAATTTAATTTTAAATGAAGCTTCTTAAACATTTTTAAAACCTTATTTACTTTACATACAACAATAGTTTAGTTATATATTATAGACTTATAGAAAGAGACCTTCCAAAAACATTAAAATGTATTACTGGCACGTGAAACTTTAAATTAGAGTGAATAAATGAAGACTCGGCACACCACTTCTGAAAGGTTGCCGACCCCTGGGCTAGATCAAGAGTCTTTTTCCAGGGGATGGGGAGTTTGGGAAATTCAAGGTAACATGGTTCCAATAGGCTTCAGGTTTACTGTATTTTGAGTGGCATTTACTTTTTCCCTTCCAAAGACGTCACCTAACTATCTTTTGACATTACACCCTATTGTATTCTTCGCACAAGAAAGTAATATGTCCAGGACTTGCATAGATCCTGGGATTTCATTAACAATTCCAGTTGCACCTGAATTTCTTCATGAAAGCCCATCTATTTCCCCTTCTCTTTCATCTCCTGTATATAGGTCTTCTGTCATCACAACCTTCCTTTACTTACAGGTGTGGCTGGCCAGGACAGGTCACTGTTGACCAACTCAAAGCCCATCCCAGCCACTCTAAACAGCTGATGTGCTTTCTCTGCAGCACCCATTGGTTCTTGAGTGGAATATTCATTTGCCTCATCATTAAATAGTACATACTGTATTTCTCATTATTGTGCAAACAGGAGAAAAACAAGATCATTAGGTAATTAATGCCTAGTTCAAATGCACACGGTGAGAAAGGGCTTGAAATAGCCATGGAAACTACTGATTAGAGGTTAACCTAACTAGACATTATAGAATGATTTTGTGCATGCATATATCTGGAAGAACAGCTGGAAATGAAGTTTCACAAAAAAGAGTCTTTGTGATAGCTTCAGATGTTCTGGCACATCACAAGAACAATTCATGGCTGAACAGGTATAGGCAATTTGAAAATAAATCTCATCAGAGTGTCTGTATTGCTACTAGAATCTCACGGGCCAAAATAGTTGACCTCTTTCTAATCAGACACTGGTTGCTATAAAGTAACACCAGGTATTGCCTCCTATTCAGGAATTGAGTCTGCCTCCTTAGTATTGGTCCCAATCCCTCCTGGTCTGGGAAGTAAGATCAGGACCAAAAATTTAATCTTGCTTCACGCACATGAGCACTAGAACACCAGAATGGCAGCCTGTTTTGTTCAATCCCTACCTGGACTGGATGTGAACAGGCAGCCTACAGATGAAAAACTTTCTAATACCCATACTTGAGCCATCAACTCCACCCATTCATTACAATCTATATATAGAACAGTATGTAGTTTGCTTCTGATATGTCATTCTTCCTTAATATAGCCTGTTCAGAATATAAACCTCTAGTTTGTGGTATGCAGTATGTTGTCAGATTTCCAACAGCTCTTTACATTTTAAGCACCAGTCATTTGTTAATAAGAAGCTCTTCTCCCTCCATTGCAGAAAACTTGCGGATTCTTTCATTGGGGAGAAACAACATAAAGAATCTGAATGGGCTGGTACGTCCCTTTTTGTAGTTTACATTTATTAAAATTAGCAATGAAGTGCTACATAATTCTTGCATCAAGGCATAGGGGAAGAGTGTTTTACCTACTCTTGCATCTCTCTTCACATAATTCAACCTTAATGCCTAACCATTTATTTTGTTTTCTTCTGCTGCCATCTTTGCACCTTCCTACATGTTGCTCATGATGCTTGGAGCAGTCTCCCATTTCCCTTGTGCCAGTCAACCACCCTCTCTTCACTGAAATCTCTCCTTCAAATGCCCTCCCTCTTTACAGACTTTAAATGCTAATCCATCAAATAAAACATTTAAATCCCCCAATAAGCTTAAGAGGAACATTTTTCTTTTCAAATATGCATTATCTGCTACCCTTATTGTCTCACTCAGCCAACTTTCCCAGACTCCTTTGCTATTGCTTTTGTTGTTTTTCTAACCTGGGATATGATCTTGTAAGGCCTTCCACACACAATTCCCATAACATGAGATTCTGCACACTAGAGCGGGCTCTTAGATTGTAAGATCCATTGGTAAAAAATGCAGATTCTCTGTCTATGTAAAGCATCATAAACTCCAGTGGCATTATATGAATTATAACTTCTACTCCCTTTGCTTATATGAATCTCATCTCCCGCCAGAAGGTGCTTTTAGTATTGTGGTCAATCACCGCACACATTGGCCTGCCTATAAACCACATTGTGACTCTCTACCCACCCATCAGAGGGGTGATTGGCACACTGAACAATGGAATAAAAGGCATGTGGCAGAGAGGCAAGGGTAGAAATATATATAACAAGGCAAAGATCTAGAGGAGAGGAAGCAGATCAGGGTCAATTTTATTACCTTTGTGTTAAGATGTCTGTATAATTAAAAGCAAAGAAATAAAGGAAAGAGTTTGTTCTTCAAGAGCTTCTGTGCATTTCTGCTTGCAGGATATGGCTTTTCCAGGCAGTTCCTCCACTCAACACCAGGGCTGCTGTATCCCACAGGTGTGAATGCACAGAGACGACTCTGAAGGAACAACAGTTATGGTTGTTTCTTTCTCCTCTTGCTGGAGGATTGCTGAGGATAGAAAGTGAAATTTGAAACCTGCAGCTATAAGCATGCACTTGTCTGAAACTATACAATCCCTTATATTACATACTAAACCCTCTAAAACAATTGATGAACTGCAGTCGTCTAGCACTGTAGAACTCACGGCATGCAGCTAAAATAGCTCCTTTCTCTCCATATGCCTTGAGTAGAACTCTGCTCAGATGTTCAATATATCTTGCTCGTGTCTTAATTTATTTTTCTAAACAAGCTGAGAGATGTATTTCAAAACTTGGGATTTTCTTTCCTTGAAGTTTTGTCATCCAGAATTAGGAACCTGCTTAAAAGAAAACAAGGAATATTGAAAGATATGGTTTGGTTTGTTGTGTGACATAGCATCTGGAGGGGAGAAAGGGAGCAGAGATAATCTGGGAAATATAGGAAGACTTACTCTCACTTTTCTGAGAGGTGTTATCATTTTCCAGGAGGCAGTTGGAGATACATTAGAGGAACTGTGGATCTCATACAACTTAATTGAGAAGCTGAAGGGCATCCATGTCATGAAGAAGCTGAAGATTCTCTATATGTCCAATAATTTGGTGAAAGATTGGGGTAAGCCTAGGCTCCTAGTTTCTCTTCTGAAGTTTCTTACTGAGTATGGTGAGTGTGCATCAGCTGAGACAGCTTGGGTCAAAGTGAGGAAACTGGCTCCTAAGGTTCTGAGTGGGCAAGTTTAGCATGGAGACTGCAGAGATGAACAAGCTGTTCAGATTACCTGCTCATACAAGAGAATGTAAAAAATATTGAGAAAGTCTGTTTATTCAACTTCTGTGTCATGTGGGGTTTGTTCTTTGAACTATGTATCTGACTCATTGCTTTTATCATCTATCACCTGCATTCTTCATCCTGGTACCCAATTCGTACCCAATAAATCCATATCCTTCCTCACCTAAAAACATCCTGGCTGTGTCTGTGCAGGTATTGAAAGGCAGCCTTGGTGCAGATGTGCTTTTTGTGTTCCACAGTCTATTTCTAACATCATCTTTTGTGATTGCAGCAGAGTTTGTGAGACTGGCAGACTTGCCATTACTGGAGGATCTGGTGTTTGTGGGCAATCCACTGGAAGAGAAATACTCTGCCGATCAGCAGAGCAGCTGGGTCGAGGAAGCAACCAAACGAGTGACCAGGCTGAAAAAACTAGATGGTGAGCTTTAAGCAGCAGCTGGGTGGCATTTATTATACAAGATCTTTTGCTTAGTGTAATGAGAACAGTAGGGTATTGGCTCAGCACCTCAAAAGTACAACTGTGAGATCTGGAGGAGGGGTGGGAACCAACTCAATGAGCAGCATTCTTCCTTTCAACACTTACTCTACTATGTGTTCACCTCTGCACAAGCAAAATTGTTCAGCCATAGCCTCAACTTCTTCTGAGAGTGGATTTTCGAGTGTTTGAAAGAGGGTGAGTGCTGTGGAGCTCCTCTGAATTGGCTTCAGCCTTCAAAGTGACTTCATTTACCACAAAGCCTATTTCAAATTAGACCTGTCACTTTGCATCACTAGCACTTCAGAGAGGGTCTTGCTCTGATGTGTTGAACTAGTATCCAGTCAAAGTACTCATAACAGCATAACTTAGAGGTGAACTGAAATGTGTTTTGATTTTTTGATAGACAATATTCGTTAAGATTTTAAATCTCTTGTGGAATTCACATGTTGACTTAATGATGAGACCCCAGTAATGTAAGTGGATTTATCTCCTAACACCCATGTTCAGGATTCTGGGTTTTCCCACAAGAGATGGTGAGAGGGAAAACACCTAGATCGTAGCAACGCGGTATGTTCTTTACCTTGATTCTAGGGCTAGGGATATCATCAGCTCTTTCAGGGGAGACCCAGAATTCCAAGCTCTTGTCCTGGCAGGTAATAAAAGGGGAAATGATTTTCAAATATTGTGTTTTGTTTTTAAGCTTATTTAAAATTTTATGTTAATGGCTGATGATCATAAATCTTTCTGGTATTTATTTAAAAAGCAGCTCACTTCTCCTTTAAGGCAAATCTAAAGAGCTTCTCTGTTTGAATGGCTTCTAAAGAATGGAGAGTAGTTTGGATAATAGTGGACAGCAAGTGGGAGAAGTGGGCAGGGTGGGTAGCAGCTGGGAAGTGAGTGGTGAAAGCAGCAGTAGGAGAGGCAGGCAGGCAAATGAGTGAAGAATACAGTATCAGTGTTGGGAGCAGAGGATGAGAAGTCAGAGCCTGAATTATTGAAGAGGTGGGAGGAAAGAGGACACTGAGACAAGGCCAGAGAGAAATGTTGATATGAAGGATGGGCTGGAGCAACAGGTGCTGTGTGAGATGAGTAGACAGCTGAATAGAGAAGCTGGTATGAGGCATGTATTTGTATGATCAAAGGGGTAACCCTTGTTTACATAACGACACTAGTGCACTGTTAGAGTGGCACACACCAAGGTTTAAGAGTTAATCAGTGTTCCTCATACCCTGTCAGCACGAGATCATGTACCTCCAAGAAGAAGGTGTGCAGCTCTCCTCTTGGGGTGGCTGCATTGTGGTGTCTCAACACAAACACTGTGCTTTCTCCAATGACCCAGCCGGGCAGAACGCTGACCATTCATTATTGGTAGGCCATTCTTTAATATACTGTAGTCCCTGCTACTCAAGAAATGGGAGCAACAGCATAGAAGAGAGCTCTTAAGCTGAGGCCTGGGGTAGTGAAGGGAGAACCAACAGTTCGAATCAGGAAGGGAGGGGGATATTCAGACGCATGGGAAGCTTGATTCGTTGTCTTCAGTTAAAAAGCAGTGGCAAAAGGCTGTTTTGCTCGTGGCGGCTTAAACTTGTTCTTGCTTCTCCTCTGCACTCCTAGTTGACTAGCATTAGTGGGCACTGCATCAGCGATTCTTAGCAGACGTTTTCTCTCTCTCTTTTAGGTGTCCCAGTTATTAAACAAGAAGAAGGTGAAGAAGGAGAAAACTAACACAACTCTTTCTTGTGTGGTATTATATTATTTAAGTTTCTTCAGAGCAATTCAGCACACAAAGCTTTTGTATAAATGTTTGTTTCAAAGAAAATCTATGGACAATTTTTTTTTTAACTAACTCATCTCCATACTCTCCTTTCCTCACCCAAAGAGTTAATTACCAAAACATGGGGACACTAACTTTGTACATTTCATGTGCTCTTCTGTGAGGACTATTGAAAGTGAGATTGTCTGTCTGATTAATGTAATGAGAGACCTTAACTAAAACTACATACTGATTTTTATCCCGATTAGTGATGATTGTAGATCTGTCTTTCTGGTTATGATAGAACCGTTTTTCTTGTTAACCGTGCAGCTGAACTTTTTTTTTTTTTTTTAATCATTTGAAACATGGAGACCAGAACAACAGTGTTTTGTTTTACACACTCTTTGCAGGCTAGGCTTTTTGTTATTTTTTAATACTGTCACAGGTAGAAACAGTTACTAACTGTAACTGGTTCTTCGAGATATGATGCAGATGTGTGTGCGCACTCAGCACGGAGCCTTTTGCCTAGCAGTACCTGTAGAGGGGCAGCATTTGCGTCTTGTGGCTGTGGGCCCTCCCCATGCTATATGAGGCAGGGCCACCCCGACCCCCCTCAGTTCCTTCGCACCAAAAGCCTATGAGAGGAGACTCCGATGCAGAGGGAATAGAGGGTGGGTCGTAGAATACACGCCTGCATCACATCTCGAAGAACCACAGTTACAGTAAGTAATCATTTCTTCTTCTTCAAATGGATGCAGACATGTATTCTGCTTTGGTGACTTCTAAGCAAGCACCTCAATCTGGAACCGGGACTTGGAGTCTACTGCAGTAGGGATTGTTTTTAAATCTTCCGCCCTTCTGAGGCCTTTGTTCCCTTTGGAAGATGCAGTAGTAACATAATGGTCCATAAATGTATGTGTGGACAACCACGTGGCCACCCTGCAAATGTCCACTATGGAAATGTCACTGAGGAACGCTATGGACAGCACTTGCACCTTAATGGAGTGAGCCTGTATCTGCGGAAGAGGTGTAGCCGAAGCTATCTCATACTCAGTCTTGATACAGCATGTTATCCATCTAGAGATGGTCTGTGTAGAGACCACTTGCCCCTTCATGAAGGCTGCATGTGACATGAACAGGCGAGGTGAAGTATGTACCGGTGGTCCTGTCGAGATAAAAGGCTAGACATCGCCTGACATCCAGAGAATGGAGATGCAGTTCTTCTGGGGAAGAGTGCGACTTAGGAAAAAACACAGACCGTGAGAAGGAGCTGAGGGGGGTTGGGCGGCGCCACCTCATATAGTCAGGGGAGGGGCCACAGCCACAAGGTGCATGCACTGTCCCTCTACAAGTACTGCTAGGCAGAAGTCTCTGGTCCAGCGTGCTAGGCACACACACACCAAAGTGGAATACACGTCTGCATTTACTCAAAGAAGAATCACTACCCCTCAACACTTCAAGAACATGTGAGGCTGTCTTTTCTGCCCTTCAGAGCTCTGCCAGTTATCTGTAGCTTGGTAGGCCCAGTAGTTGTCATGGGCTCATGTTAAAAAAGGCAGTGAATGGTCTAATGATCTCCTGTCATTAGCAGTGGACCTATAACTGATCATCTTGAACTGCACTGGAACTCAAAACTTCATTACTGAGAAGGCCACGACTACCTTTTGATATATTTGTTTTTAAATGAAGCAATGGAAACTCTTTGCATAGTTTTTGGTGGAATTTAAGTACTTATTGGTTTTTTCTTTACATTGTTATAAGAAATTAGGCACTTTAGATTTGAATACATAGACTTTTACTAGCCAATAGCTGGCTTGTGGTACTAGCCTGAGCATGACTTTCTTTTTAGCTGACTGATTAATGTAGTCCTTCACAGCTCTGGAATATTCTACTAAACTAAGGAGGTTGATAGCTGTTCAGAAACAAACAAATGTACAAAAGACCTGGACTTGAGGGTATTTTTATAAGCTTTGATTGGGGGGTATTCATTTGTTTCTAAAGCACAGATGTAGGCAGGTGAATGAAAGGTTTAGGTAGCTGCTGGGGAAAGGACAGAAGAGATTAGAAGTAGGAATTGGAAAATAAATATTGATAAAGAGCTAAACTGCTTTGCCACATGATGACATCTTAGTGAAGTCCCCAGATGTGACAAGTAAATCCTTTTAAAATGAAATGCATGAAATGATGATTAGAGAAAGCACCACTGACCCCTAGAAAATGCATAAAATGACCTAAACAGGCCTTTTATCAGCTCAGATTGCTAAAGTTCTGGGTTTACTTTCCTATTCCTGGTACCAATTCAGTTTAATCAGATTAAAATGGCAGCAATGAGCATATTGCTGTATGAGGAGCAGAATGAGTGTGGGAGAGAAGCAGAACCTCGCTCGTAATTTGTCTTGTGTTTCTAAAGCTGAAGCTGTGGCTGGATTTTTGGAATCCATGCTCAAAGATAGGAAAGTGGTGATGCAGTTGGCCCCAGGCAACAGCAGTATTCAGCTCCTGTTATGGTAGGCAGTACCATTACTTTCCCCGAGTCTAACTCTGGTAGAATTCCAGCTCTGACAATCAATTTCTAAGTGACCAGTGTGAAGTAGAAGACTACAGGCAAAGCAATTCAATGCTATTAACTTCTTTATAGCTACTCTGTACATTCCCACAGGAATATGTATGCCATATATGCCCAGTAATTGCCCGGTCATTGCAGGTAAGACTCAAATCTAATTTTAGGGTCTTTTCTTCCTTTTTAATGAACAGATGCAGAGAGTCCTCTGTCTTTGACATTCTTCATCTAAGATAAAACTTTTCCAGACAGCCTGCTGTGCTGCCTTGAATGCAGTCTGACTCTATTCTCAGTGGTCCTGTTGGTCATCTTATAGCCAACTTGCCATTCAAAAGTAATTTTCTAGGATTGCAGTCTCTACTGATGATCAGGACAAGACAGTACTGGCCATAGACAATACTGTTGGGAGATGGGTAAAGCTGGGAACTTTGTAGACAGCTAACTGTTGTTACCAGGCTTGTCATTTTGATCCCTTTCAGCACTAAATTCATTGAGAGTTAGTAATTAACAATTCTTTGGACAGGAGGTGGCTTTACACATTATTTTTAAACCCTACGTTGATGATATACTCAGCCTCTGCTGCCGTCAACTCTTGTGTACAAGAACAGTAGGCTAGATTTGTGCCCTTGAATACTGTAGTTAAAATATTAGCATTTCTCGGTGCAAGCCAAAGCCTGGGTGAGTATGAAACCTGACTAAATACTGCTAGCAAATGGAATTGCCAAGTAGCAACAGTCCTCTTCACATATTTTACAAACTCCTATGGAGGGTTGAGGAGGATTTTCAAAGTAATCTCTTAAGGAAAGCATCAGTCAGTGGGGACCTACTTTAGAATTGATTCACTCCTAGTCGCTGAAATGAATTCCCTTCAAAAGTCTTGGTGTCCAGGTTTCTTAAAGTAACACATTCTGAAGCTGTTTGCACATGTGTAGCTTCAGTGCTAGTAGTAGGAGGTGGTTAACTGTAGTTTCTGTAATTCCTTTAGAGCGCTGCGTAGCACTTCCAGTTTGGGTTGTTTGCTGCAGAGCCATGACCAGAGCACAGCTAGCAAAAGTGACTCTGTCAGAGAAGTATGCCCTCAGGCACACTGAGCTTTGAGGCTGCCTCTGGCATATTCATGTAATGCTATTGCCCTCTGCTTTTCTTCTCCTTCTACCAATAGTGCATTCTCTGGCACTGGGTGGGAAGGAAGGGGTTAAGGAGGGGGGAAAAGCAACTCCAAACAGTTGACAATAGCTCTAATACACATTTGAGAAGAATATGCTATCATGTAGCCTGTGAGTATGGCCATCCTCAGAACAGTGGGCACAGAAGTAGCCATTTGGCTTTGTCATTTTAGTTAAGCATTCACCCATGGTATTAAACTAGCTATAGCCTCTTAACGTCCTTTTTTGTGGATGAAGGGCGGGTATGAAAAACACTTTCCGATGCTACCCACAGTCCTGCTGGTTGATTTACCTCCATGTAGAGTCGTTGTAGTGTGCAAGTACACAGGCAGCATTTCCCAAGTCAGCGTCAACATTTGAGAACAGACTAGAAAGGTGCAGGAGAGGGGATTAGCACAAAACAGCGATATACTGAAAAGATTTGCAGGATAATCCAGGGTGATGGTTACAGAACAAAGTGCAATTCCTGCCACCTCTGTCTTAAATATTAACAGTATCTGTACAGCAAAGTCCAAGAGCAGCTCTTACAACCATTAAGGAATTGGTAGAATTGTGCTGGCCTTTTTGTGCTGCTGCTTGTGAATACAATGAAAATTCACCGTTGATGGGGTTAGGCAGCCAATCTCATTGACATTAAAGTACATTTTATAACACAAAATTTATCCTGTAATAAATGTGAAATGGTAATTTAGGTGCAGTGGGGACAGGAGGGGGAGTAACATCCTTTCTGATAAGACAAGAACTGAAATATCAGACTTATTTGAGAGCATTTGCTAAGGAACGCACCAAATGGGTTTCCTTTACTGTCAGCTGAAAAAGCTTTTTACCAAAATCTGATTTTTTCCCCTAACAGTTGGCAGGAAAGCCCAGCTAAAGTCTCGCCTTGCCTAATGTATTATGCTTACTCTTATGAACAAATCAAACTTTACATTTGCAAAATAAAGTGAAGGGGGTTGATTTTTTTTAAAAGAAGATTTGCACTTTAAAAATTATGCACTGGATGTTGGTGGAAAGTATGGCAGATATGTAGCCGTAAGGAGTGGGGCCTACCAGTTAGGAGCCTAAGTACCTTTCAGGATCTGGGCCTAGCAGAGCAGGTTATTGAAAGGATTTCCTTACTCTCTGATCTTCCATGTCTCACCACATCTGTTATGATACGTAGCACCTAGTGATTTGATCATGGGTGAAAGGAGCACCCATGTAAAATTCTCAAGCCATGTGGAATCCTGCTCTCCCGCACAAACAT